GACACTAATGCGTCCACTTAAAACCGGACCAATTACCACGATTATTTTTATGCGAGAGATCATTTTGTGTGGGCATCCAATTCCAGGAGTGCGATAACGCGCATGCACATATGGAAAAAGAAAAGAAACGATTGTTGTCGTTTATAGCAATGCATACTTTATACATATATAAACTTACGCTTGTGTATATAAAATATTGCTACGACCGAAGCCGAGAGATAATTTACTCGGATTTGCACGGCTCGATATCTCGACGACGATTCGTAAATCGTGCCCGCATATTGTTAGCTCTTTCTCGAGACATCTCACTAATAAATTGTCCGCAATTCAGTTTACACGATTAATGGTACTTTCTCTCGTCGGATAACGTCTTCCTCCTTACGTCGGTGCATCCATCTTGTTCCGGTGAGGCACCAGTGCGCCTCTTTCTACTGGCAATTTATCTGGCATGTGGCGGGAGCCCACATTTACGAGATCATTTATCGTTCAATCGATTCGGTCCGCAGCTAACGGCCGCGCCGGTAATTCGCTTAATACGTTATCTTGGCAAATTATGCATCGTGGTAGTTAATAATTATTGCGGCCTCATATGCCTTCGGTGTATCCCATGTTAAATCGCATGGATGAACAAATTTGTATGTTTTTTTAATGATATTCTCATCAAAGGAATTTACAAGAATTAATTTTGTTGGCTTTTGCTTAATTTCATTAAAAACGGATAATTTTATGTGCAAGTTAAATTGATTTATAAAACATTTTATCTTTTTGAATCCAAATATCAAAATTAGATCACACATCCAGAAAAAAGTCATGAAGAAATTGTTTCTTTCGTTGATGTTTTTAAATTGGAGTCAAATCAAAGGTTTTTAAATCGAAGAAAAATTTATTTTATTTCAAGAAATGACGTTCAAATGAAAGAAAAATTTATTTTATTTCAAGAAATGACGTTTAAATCAAAGAAATTTTTTTTAACCGTCTAATGGACACATTTCTTTGATTTAATTTTTATTTAATTGAAAAAATTTTTCTCTGGATACAAAAACTACAGCGAAAAAAAAAGAAAAGCTAAAAAAGAATAAGAATTTTAATCTTTAAAGGACAGGGATCTACTTTTAAAATCTAGTTTTTATTACAGCTTTTCTTTGAGATAAGATTGTTATAATTTATTACAGGTCTGTCCAATTTGAGCTTCAAAACGCAAAATCATCGACGCAAAAAAATACAATGTGAGTAAGATTTCAGAGACTGTAAAGTATTGATAAGTGTCACTCGGATGCGTATCATCATTTTACAGAAAAATCCTCCGAAATCTTACCCATATTGAATTTTTTTTTTGGACAGGCTTGATTTATTGTACATCATTATATTCCTTGCTTCAAAATTTACTATTTCAGCATCATTATGGTAGCTTTCCCGTCCTGTAAAGGTTAATAAAAAAAAAAAAAAATGATCGACTCACATAGAAGGAAAGCTCGATGCGGTGAGAGTGCTTCGGCACACAAGTAAGCGTTTCCGATCTGCAGCATCCGGTATCGTCCGAGCACCTGTGTAATATGGCGCAGTGTGGAATGTAGGTGGTCGATGGGCTCGGATAGACGTCACGAACCGGAATAACTCTCGCTCGTGGCCACTGGCAGCTGCCTTCCTTGTTGACTTTAATTGCATGCTGAAGAGCCTCTCGGATTTCAGCACCTATGGCAAACATTCGCCTATAAAGTACAATCCCGTGGGATCACAGCCGTTAGAATGACAGAACGAAATTGACTAACTCGCTTTCGCAAGTTTTCAATAAAAAAAGATAAGGCTCACGTTATAGTCCTTGTTCCAAGTACGTGACAATTGTGTTTTATCTTTTAGAAAGCCGATATATAGCTACACCTACTCATGGTGATGATATTTGATTTGCGACATGTTTCTTTACGGTTCTTTCGAACTTGCGGCTTTCCAGATCGTAAATCTTCGAATTTTGAAACCCTCAAACTTTTCTATTCTCATGACATGAAGTTATTAGCTTTCGTAAGTGGCCTTAGAGATTGCGTTAAAGTGGTATTCTCTTATATGTTGTAACGAGCCATGAGTAATATCGTTTCTTCATGTAACTCATTAATTATTGTCTCGATAAAACGGAAGGCGAGAGCGGAGTCGTATTAAGTCAGATTAAGGAGAAGCCCGTCTTATCGGAACGGATCTTCCGTTAGCGATCCTCTGATCCGTCTGGTATGCTCGGTTTCTGATAATATACCGGGAAGAGAAACGAGAATTCGTGATCGAGATCGAGACGTGAGGCGGCTAGTTTGATCAACGAGCTCGGATCTCCTGCATCTCCTGCATCAAGTGACATAAGTTACGAGAGCTTTCTATTGATTCAGCATGGAGATAACTAATCGCTTTCTACGCGCGTTTCACGCGCTATCGATAATTACGGCGACACCGTCACTCCGCATAATTCGCTTCAGCGAACGGAGAAACGGCATTGTAGCAGAAAATCGGTAAATTCTAGCGCAAATAATAACGGCGGAGAAACGTCAACGGTACGGAAAAGAATTCAAAAGCGATGTTGAGCCACTTAGGAAGCGATTCACCGTTCGCGAGGTCGCGGGTCACGAGATCGCTCGTTAAATGATCAAAAGGAGAGAAAGCACATTTGTTATTTCTGCACGTCCACATAGCGTTCTCCATGTCGTTTAACACTTATTTCTGTAGTCATTTTACTTCCAAGATTATTGTGAAATGAAGAAGTCTCGAGATGATGACGAAATACGAGGTATTTTTAGAGCGAGAACTTTGAATTACGGATTTAAACGGACCGTTTGCGATCTCGAAACGCATCTCGATTGTGCACGGACGACGGTGTTAATCGGATCAAGTTCGCCGGTCGCATATTTAACGAGTATACCGTGGATGAATTGAGGCTCCATGACGTTTTTAATCGAAAATTATTGCGATGCAGCGAATATCAACTATTTATACTCGATGACGACTTATCGCCCATTAAAGTGTCGTTCGTCATGTCCGATTAATTTATTAGCCATTACAGAATTGGTCGTGTGAAAGGTTGCGATATGCTAGAGCTTGCAATCACTTTGGAAAACTACATGGTTTTTGCTGTTGGGAAACAATGATCTTCGCTCCATCGCAGGCAGTAGAGAACAAAATAAAAATGAAATTTTATTAAAATGTTATTTTAATAAAAAGTATATAGAAAAAGAGCTACGAGTATATAGAAAAAGTATATAGAAAGTATATAGAAAAAGAGTATTGTTTTAACAAGAAGAAACTGGTTTAGATTGAGAGAAATGTTTCATATGTAATAAAAATTTCGTTAGAATAACACAATTTTTTTAATTAAATAAGAAATAAGAAAGTTTTTATAATTTACATACCAGCTAAATTATGACTATTCATACAAAACATCGCTCTTAGGGTATTACACGTATTTAGAGAGATCAAGAAATGTATAAGTTATGTGATTCGCTGGCTTGAATAACTTTCTCGTAACATTCGTTTTATGCGCGCACGAGAACTCCAGCTATAAGAGATGATTTCAGTGGAGATTTCGGAAGTGTACTTTTATGGAATTTCTCGCCCGCCTAATCTCAAGGGACGATCATGATATGCTAATTTCCAACATAGGCGTTACTTTCGCCATGAGATCACATCGGCGCGTTCAGAATGGAGGCACGGCCATAAGGAATTCTGAAGTATGTGCTCTCACTACGCATCCGTACATCTGATATTCAAACGCGTGTATTCGGAATATATTATGAAAGAAAGAGATTAAATTCAATCATCTACTATTCTTTAATTTTTCCGAGAAAATGTATCAACATACAATATCACACGGAACAATATAGTTGAATTAACAAGATATGTTTGGTTAAGCAAATTTTGATGAAAGTAAACAGAATGTCTAATTATTATAATTGAATATTTTGATTACACAACCAAAACATTTAGGTATGATATCAATTATAAGAGTTTAGTTAGTACGTATGTAGTAATAATATCCAAGTATCTAGTTGTTATAATCATAAGCTGAATTAATGTGGTTAACGTATATGATTAAATTAAAGGAGTTTTCTAGGAGGTGAACTAAACATAATTTCTGATTACCATAATTAAATAATCATAATTTAATAATATTTCAACCAAAATTTGCGTTGCTTTTACTAGAATTCATACAACGAAATGTACTTGGCTACCGCAACGAAAATATATGCAGCCTGTCTGGTTATTTCAAAATGTGTGGATCGTTTATATTTCACTAAGCGCAGTCTGGTTATTTAGATATATGTGTTTTAGATTAATTTAACCGATTTTTTTAGTGCATACACATTTATTATATTATTAATGCGAGGAAGAATGAAAGACTACAAAGCAAATCATTTATCAATTATTTATTCTTTTCTTCTATGGTCGGTTTGGTTAGTTTTATACAAATTTAAACTCTGACTCATCATGAAAGTATTTGATCAACCGTTGCCACGAAAGACAGTAGCATATCTAATGGGTATATATCATCTTGTAAATATGCAGGATTATGCGAGCCAACGGAAAGTGATGTCATCAATGTGATATATGACGCTAAGATTTCCACGAAAGCTTTACGCATTCTGCATTTATCTTATCACGCACATAATTATAATTTTCTTGTTAAAACTGTAAAATTTAATTTTTAACTCTCCGCCGACAACGTAGAACTTTGATCGTACAGTCAATTTTTTTATTGTTAATACTAGTAGATAAATTGAAGCTTGTAAAAATAATAAAATACAACCCGACTTCTGCGATAATAAAAACTCTTTAAAACTTTCACAAGTATGGAAGAATTTTTTTAGATTTTTATACGGTCTGGATATTAAAATTTAAACTAAACTTCAAAGATCCAGGTTGCTGGGTCGGAAGGTACAAAATTATACATTGTCGACGAAGGATTAAAAATGAAATGAAATTTTAAAAAGTGAAGTGAAATTTTTAGTGTGCATATTAAAATTTGGCAGATGTATCCGGACGGAAGACGAGAGAAGAGACGAAAGTCGTGCAGAGAGGACGAGGAATGTTTGTCGGATAAGAGGAGGTTGCTGTCGGGGTTGCTGTCGTTCGGTGAGTGATAATAAATTGATTTTAATCCACGGGGACTATATGAATCAAGACCCGGCAAACACGCACGTGCGCGCATTGATGCACGGGAGTACACGCTGCGGTTGCCGTAACCGCCACGAGCATTCAGTCGGGGTGCACAATCGTTGTTATTAATTTACATATTAATAGCCTGCAAACTCCATTACGCCTTTCTCGCAGAAACTCCATTCTCCACTACCGAGCGTTGCTCCCGCCGCGCGTTGAATATGAGAATTTTATTCGAACGGCGATCGCGAGGGAAGAGACGATCGCGCAATCGGATGTAATTAGCGGCAAAAAGCAGTGAAGGATAAATAGGGCCTTGGGAAGACTTTAACCTCGTGATATAATAGGTTTATGAGGCGTACGTAATGATAAAGAAACAGAATTAGGAGAAGGATTAACGAGGGAAATACAAGAAACATTACATGAGTATATATATTTATCTTATTTTTTCCAACGTAAATATCGCGTTTTATGGTGGCTGTTTTTACGATATATGTCTGTCATCCGCTTGTTAATAAGAGAAGCCGATTGAGAAGGAGAAGAGTCATCTTAACGGCTCTCTCTCTCTCTTTCTCTTGTCCTCTCGGATGTAGATGTGAATGGTGCTTGTGTTGCAATCGCATCGATAGAGAAGGTGCAATGCCTCCAGGCATAAATAAAGGCGTGCTCCTGGGAGTCGTATCGCAATCGTAATATAGCACGGGCAAATTTATATTGCGTGCTGCGACGGGTAATTATAAAAACCATCGTTACACCAACCGGACGGTCAAAGTGACGCGATATATTACGTTCCTATTACAACGTAACATTGCCGATCTTAAAATATGCTCTCTCCTTCGCGTCGAATCGCGGATATGCATATTGTTTGATCACGATCGTGTTATCAATCGGTTACCAATTGATTTATGCGCGCTGCTTCAGTTTCATAATTGCGGCAGATCGCTGTTACATGTGTAGGCAACTTGATTGCCGCGAACACGTCCGCGTATATCCCGTGTAACGTATTAGATAGATGGATAAGCGCGCTGCGGTTTTGCACAAACATTTGCGTATAATGCACGCACGCGCGATGAAAGGTACGTCGATAATTACCGTGGCATCTCCGACATACGTGAAATATTACTGTGTTATTAACGTTGATCGAACACCGCCACCAGGAAAGGACCACCGGCGTGGTTTCAATAACGATTAATAACTATTTCAGAACAGCGCGCATCCGGCGGGCTGTTAAAATTAATTGAGGTTAGCAGACGAAAATGTAGAACGGTATTACGTGCATTTGCATAAACCGATTACGGGGAATCGCAATCGCAATCGCGATCGCTTACAAACTACTCTTTTAATACGCTTCACCGCCCGCACATTTTTTTTTCCATCGATAAAGATGTCGTAGGAAGAGAAACGTCGTGACAGTCATTGAGATGCACTCGACATTCTGAATGCGTACTTACTCTTTCCGTTTTTGTTGTACTGCTGCATGTTGCTTCTGGTCTCTTTGACGCCCTCGCGAGTACCGAGTGATTGCCACTTGTGAACGCTGTGAGCAGACATTGGTGGATAATCGTTTCTCGCTTGGTACCCGTTATATTGAGCTCCAGTACCGCTGTCGTAGGCCTTTGGATCTCTGTATTCGTAATGCTGGCTGAGCGACGGCTTCGGCGTCGTCGTAGTTGTTGTGGTAGTCGAGGTGGTGAAGGTTTCATCCTCTTCGCCATTGTCGTCATCGGAGTAATCCTGCACATGTTAACAGTTCAACATGTAATAGTGATTTAGGGAACTAAGAACCAATTGTTTCATCTTCAGATAAACTGTATGGTAATTTTTTACTTATTGAATAAGCAAAAGAGTAAGAGAGTAAGAGCATAAGAAAATAAAGAGTAAGATAATGAGCTGAACTTTACCAAAGATGGAACAACCTAAATAGGATGAACTAGTTACAATATATGTATAATATATAAATATTCGTAACTGTAAATATAAGAAATAAATTATAGATGAACATAATAAAGATATGACACTTAAATTTAATCATGTTAATTAAAGGAATTCTCGTTAAGGTTTAGGTTTAGATTATTATAAAGAAAGATTTTGCTGAAGTTTAAAACTTTAAATAAATAAAAATCTAAAATAAAAATTTGAAAATAATTTTATTGGATTATTAATTATTATGTAGAACGCTCAAACTAGTTAGAATATCAAAATTTCTTGTAACATTATTCATCATATTTCAATTTTTTACTTAATTACTTTGACGATCTAACGAAATTATTTTTAGATCTGTATCTAGCTAAATTTTTAGATATTTTAGTTTTCACAATCTTTTCATAATTTCGTACTTGTTTCATTTTGCAGTGATTGAAGAAGAAAGCGAAGTACTACGAAATCGATATGCATATGATAAGAAAAAATAATATAAGGCAAAAGGGAGGCATCGACAATATAAAAATTCATCAGAGAGATAATTTTGCTTTTGCTCGTGGGTGGTCAATATGCCTTCGTGAATCTTCGGCAGATTTTTTTCTCGGAGATAAGTTTTATAGGTAAATTTGCATCTCTCCGCTTGCACCTTCTCATCTTGGTCGATCCGTGAACTCAAAGAGAACGAAAACCTACTTAATCGCCGTCTGCAACATCTGGAGTCTTTGATGTCGCGCCGTGTAGCAGAAACAATCCTCGCGAACGCGTGCCCTGAATCTAGGAAGTATTTTATTTAGCAGAGCTTTCGATTCCGTACGCGTCTTCCGTTTTATCGGTGGATCGCTCAAGCCATTCCAGAAATTTGGACGTGGACACGTCACGTTGTTGACGAAGTGAAATTGAAAAACTTAGAAAATGAAAATAGAATTCAATTTATTTAAGCTATATGAAATTTAAAAAAATTATGAGCAATATATTATTAAAAATAAAATATTAATTTTAATTTAAATATGGTAAAATTAATATTTTTTGTGTATAGAGTCCACTATACATTTTTAACTTAAAATTAACATTTTATTTTTAACAGTTTTTATTTGTAAAATACCTTTTCTTAATTTAATTATTTTAGATTTATTATTATTTTGTTTTTAAGAAAGAAATGTTTCATTCGTGTTTCTGATTGCTAAAAGTTTCAATTCCTATTATAATAAGAAACTATGCGAGATGAGAGTTTAACCCAAATGAATTAATCTGTCTCTTGAATGAATAGCGTGTATAAAGCAGCCTATTACTCGATAACTGATGAATTGAACGTTACGCAAACATTTATCGTGTTTATCACTTTCCAATCGCGATTGAGCCGTTTCTATCGATTGAGATGTCGACTTCTATAAAGGGATTTACTTCGCTGATGGAGAACACACACAGTTTCTGCGATTGTCGAAGACGCCTTGTACCGTACTTGAGTTACTGAACCTGCAACGGACAGTAAATTCAGGATTCTACAAACGCTTCTTTGTTCCTAGCAACCTTCACGGGTTGCTCAACATATGGCTCTTACAATGAAAGATCATCCATTTTAAAGTTTTTCTTAGAGATAAAAAATCCGCATAGTCACGCATTGTGACGATTGAACCCGAACTCAATACTTTGGATATCCAAATATATTTACACATGTTGCACAATACATTCATATATGTATATTGTGAAAAATGGATCAATAAATAAAAAAAAGAAGAAAAAGAAGAAAGATACATTTTAAGAAAAATAAAATAAAAATTAGATCCATATGTATCTGATGGAGTAGGATAGAGCAAAACCTATTTTTTATTTACTTCTCTCTCACTTAAAAATAAAGTTTGAAAATTGTGGTGTATCTACCATTGAAAATTAATGTGTAGAACAATATACATAAATAACGTTAACAATTTTATTATGACGTACTGCAATCGTATGTGATATTATTATTGACTAATTTTTATAAAATCTTTAAGCTGCCAAGAAAATTTGTTTAATTTTAAGAGAAATAAAAATAAGAATTAGATCTATATACTCACTGTCTTACTCTCTTACTGTCTTATGTTCTTTACTCTTTTGTCCCAAGGTAAATTGTCACATAGTTTATCCGAAGATAGAATAACCGGCCCTTAGTTAAAAAAAAGGTTTCAAAATTTTTATTGCATACCTATATCATTGGAAATATATTAAAGAAAATTAACATATAAAACGATATACATGAATATTTTTATTATGATGTACTATAATTGTATTTGGTATCGTTATTAATTAATTTGTAAAAAAATCCTAGGATGTCATAAACATTATTTGATTTAAAGAACAAAAATAAGAATTAGATTTATATGTAAAAATTAGATCCATATGTATATTTGATAAATAGAATAGAATATCAGAAGATATATATAAAAACTCATTTTTTATTTATATCTTTTTATTTAAAAAAAGTTTTGAAATTGGTCCATGTACTGTTGAAAATTAATATGCAAAATGACGTATATAAAATGAACTTTATTATAATGTATTACAATCACATATCGTTATTGATTAATTTCTAAAAAAAAACTTCAGAATGTTATGAAGATTTATCACTACATATTCCAGTTGAATGTCTTTGTTAACTTAAAAGTGGAATATGAAATTATATTAAAGAAAAAATTTATTCTACTTGGTTATTCAATCGTATAGCCGGGCGGTTTATTTCAACTTGGGTTTTATGAGACATCAGAATAGAAACTGCGTGGGGACTCGAAGATTTACCATAAAAGATCTGCCAGACGCTTTGATCTCGGCTCGCAGAAAGCGGATTAGACCGTCGATAAATATATCAGGTTTATCCCGATGTGTGTGCCACGCTATCGTTAACGATCCCGAAGGAATCAGGGTCAGCGAAAGGTCAGACAGTTTCTTAGTTTAAAAATGAGCTCGCGGTTCCTCTGAATCTCACCTTTAGATATAACTCTGGTGCCATCTGCGAAAATCGAGTCTTTAATTTATAAATCTCTCGACAAATTAT